CAAACTGTTTATTTCTTAACACTTTTTTCCTACAATTTTATGCAACTGGTAATTTCATTTTTTGCACATAAAAGTAGCTKTTTTATAGAATTGTACAGTACTAGATATTTTGTATTTCAGAAATATAAAATTTGTTCAGTTTAGTGAACACAAATGAATTTTGGTTTTCAAGAAAAATCATCCAAAGTTTATGTTCAAATGTAGCTTACCTATTGAACAGCCTAATTACCCTTTAAGTTTTTTCCTTTTTTTGATTAGTTTAATCTATAATTCATAAGGTGTATTCAATTCCAAGTTTCTATTGAACATGAAGTTGTAAAAAGCTTTTTAAAAATATTGTAGTTTGGTATTTTAGCTGACTGTRAAATAAAATTTATTGCATATGCACTGGAAATGTTTCTTCGTTTTGTGGTCAAATAAAAGACTTTGAAAAAAAACTGTGACAGAAACATGTCTTCACAATTCCTGTTGTCTGATGTTTCATTGAAAAATAGATATTCAAAATTGTTTTTACCATTGAAAAATTGGGAAAAGACTGACGACCGTGCGTTGAATTAAAAAAACACAGCAGTTTTTCCATTACACTTAAAAAGCGGAAGAAAAAAACAACATTTTAAAATATCCTGCTTCTTTTGCAATGCGACTGTTGTAAACTGATTGTAAATGTTTTAGTAGAAAGCTTAATTTCGCTAGTTTAGGACTTTTTCATTAAGCGGGCTTGAAAATATCCATTTTGTCAAACTGCGCTGAGGAGCGCACAAAATGTCAAAAAAATTTCCCCGAGTAAAACAATTAGAATAAAAATACAAAGGTTATTCAGTATAATTAAGGCTAAAATGTGAGTTATATGAATCACGTTTTAGCAATATATTTGAAGTAGCAAACCTTGGGTGGYAGCTTGTTGAAACAACCTTGACAGTGAACCAGTGAACCTAGGAAAAGATGAACAACGGTTGAGATGTTGGAAAACGGGTTTTACAATGAAAAGCACTCAAAAGAGTTCAAAAATATAAAAAAGAATGTCATAAATCACTTACCACTTATCAAGGCGTTTGTTTAAAATATCATTCCAATGATTTGACCTCTGAATTCAGCAAAAAATATCAAATAAGCCAACAAAACTTTGAGCGGCACCCAACTCTCTTGACATCAAACCAAAACTGACGAGTCACGCGATGTGAGAAGAAAAGGCGGGAAAATACTACACGCTGATTGGACAATATTGAAAGCCGGTTGAAAACCAGTTTTTCCACAGGTAGCCCAAGCTATAATACGCGATTTTTGCTGAAATTTGATGAAAAATAAAAAAAAAATTGAAAAACATTCTATATGTCTCTTATATTGTCTTTTTTCTTCGTGTGAAGTTTCAGGTTTTGCAGATGACTATTTAGCGAGATTTTTTATATTTTGTTAACGTACCTCCATACTCATTACAAAATTTATTCATTAGTAAATTTAAGAAGGCTTGTCTTTGCTGGCTTCTACCAGAATATTAAAGGTGGGTGCATCGCCACTCCATCCCAACTTTACCCTAGCAATGCCGGAAAATTTCTAAAACCTGGGTAGAGGAATAGATGGAGAGAGAAATGCCTAGTCTCAGGGGAATTGAATCCAAAGTCTGAAGCCTTTCGACCATCACATCTCACTCATAGGAGTGCCCCCAGTCACAACTCTGCAGTCACTTTACAATCCACACATGGGTTGCTAAAGTATTAAGTTTATTATTCAAAAGAGAACAAAAAATCAAAATGGTTTCCAAATCATGACGTTACTGCCCTGCAATCCCATCATACACTGGCCGAAGAGCAGCCTACTTTGCCATGAGTTTATTTCAACTGTTTTAGTTGCCCTACAAAATTGTGATATAAATATTAATTCAATGCAATCATTTGTGTTTTGTATACGTTAGGATTTCAGTTCATCCATCATAGAATGAAAGTCTGATAGCATTTGATAGTCAGGATCTACAGGTTCCATATAACTGAACTCCTGTTCYTCACTGTCACATAACATATTAGACCCAGCAAGGGTTAATCTACATGGTAATTCATCAGCTTGACAGGCATAGTGTTCAATAAGTGTCATCAGGTCWGGGAATACTTTGCTGAATCCCTAAAAAGTATAGCAATACACATTATTTGTAAAACTACTCCATAATAAATAGATAGATTATTGATAAAATCACCTTGSAAACTGAATTAGGTGAAAATAAGTTTGGAATAAAAGATAAGTATAAAAATGTACTATGTATAAAATACAATTATTATAAATATAGCTTGGATGTAAACACACGATTTCATTGGCTAAAAAGTGGGCCATACTTTCCCGTACGGACCATGATGAAACAAGAAAAAACGTTTTTTATCTTAAAAAGGCTCGCTTTCTCTCTTTTTGTAGTTGTACTGTATAAAAAGTTTGCGCTCTGCCCATAAGTCAGTGAAAAAAAACTCGGTCCATAACCTCCCGTACGGCCCTCGCGCTCGGTCAATAAGATATTAATATACTAAGTTATAATAAATGATGTGAAATTATCTAGTAATAATGCATGGTTATCATCATTCCATTCATCATCATCATATTCTATGTTATCATAATTGTTTAACATACATACCTCGAGTTTAACTCCCTCTGGTACTGATGTAATCAAGTAGTTAGCATATCCATCYGGGATGAATTCTTTTGGTACTCGCACTGTTAGAGCATGACAACCTGGTCTACTTTGACTATCACGAACAAAAAATGAACCATCCTCTGACGACTCTAGCATCTCTAGTATAAACTCCCTGTGAAAATACACATCAGTAAGCTTATTTATTGGTATTTGAACAGTATATATAGTGTCAACCACATTACCACCTTGCTTACCTTGGAATTCCTGGCATATACCAGTACTCATCATGGTGTGTGACTGGCCTATCAATAGTGTTTGACCTTTTCTTCACCTCTGYATTGTCATCACTGCCTACAAAAGTTACCGTGGCATCACCAGAAGCACCTYCCTCTCCACTGTCTGCAGAAGATGCAGCAGCAACAGGACCTGATATTGCCCTWTCAACATGAGTACGAGGGGGGATGGGTGGGGCTTCCTCCATTGTATTYGTTTCCACTTTTCCATTGTCTTGTGCACCAGCATAATGAGCYGAAATATCAAGTTCTTTATGTGTCGAATAAGGCAATTTACTGGAAGCTTCCTGATGAGAAACACTTGTTTCTGTTGTTACCGTACTCTGTGTTTCACATGTTGTTGTACTTGTACTGGATATTGATATTTCTGAGACACTATCGCAAAAAGCATCATCGTCTCCTGAAAACCTGCTGCCCAGGGAAAGTCCTTTGTGTTTGCGTTGGGYGGGAGGTGTGACAGTAGGAGAACCATTCCTCCATCCAGGTTTAGCTGCTGGTGTCTTTCTCTCAAKAACAGGACTTCCATCAGTGCCGCTACCTGAACTGTTGCTASYTGTTGTCTGCAAAACTTTTTTCTTKGCATAGGAGGCATGCTCAGARTGTTCATGYCCACGGTTTATTTCATGTTTTGCCTGAAGAATGTATAATGTATAATAATGTTAATCTAACAAAGCAGAATCAGAGAAATATGCATAATCTACCATACCCATCTTCTAACTGGTTTATCCTGYTTTGGAACTATATCTCCAGTATTCATTCCATGACGTTTCTGTAACTTTGATGATGCAAAGGCCATTTTGAATGATTTCCCAATCATGGCTGTTAAATCTTGAACCTTAGTGGGTATGAACGATATGAACGCTACTTTCCATATAATTTGTAAAAAGTGAAGTTGGGACAATGTTTAGGAGTCATGGCTAGAAATATTATTGACAATATATACCTGCTTTGATGACCCCCCTACAAACACATGTCCATGAACTGCCACACCGTCCGGGGTGGGGCTGTATGTCATAAAAGCAAACAAGAAAAAGTCTGGGTCACAAGTTGCAAAGGATATTCTTTGTAATGGATACGCCATTCTTACTCTCTATAAAACAAACATGAAAAGTTAGCATTAAATCAGTAATGAATGTCGTCACTGTCTGCAACTCACACTTGCATCAACATTGAAGACTTTTATTCCATCTGATGATATCTGGAGCACAACATCAACACCATTTTGTTTGCCCTATATGCAGACATAAAAATCAGTTGCACAACACGTTAAATAAAAATGAATGTCGCCCACAGAACGGTATATAAAGAGTGAACAGTTAGACGGTTTGTATCAATTCATTATATGAGACTGGAAATAGCCTGCTAACAGGCGCTCAGCTCCTCCTGCCCATTCCTTCTCAGCCTCCCAGCAGGAACGCCTGTTAGCAGGCTAGACTGGAAACGGTGACAATGCTCTCTAAGAACATTTAGGTTCTGTTGCCCTTTCAAATTTCCATTTAGTAATTTTTTTATATATTGCTACACACAACAACTCCATACAAAAAGCTGCGATGAGAATGGTTTTGATTGACAGCAGTAGTAAAAATGAATGATTTCAAAAAAATATATAATGCAGTATGATAGAACATGATGATGATGATTCCTATATATTGTTAGTTAACTGTATACAGCCTTTTGCACAAATTATGAGACATTTTTATATATATAAATATACCTAACCAAATATCAAAAACACCCCAGAAATTATGGCATATCTCTATTATATTTTGTCATGATTCCCTAGCATCAGGTTGTTACAGACAAAATATCAGCGACGGTATCCCATAATTTCTTGGGTGTTTTTGATATTTGGTTAGGTATATTTATATATATAAAATGTCTCATAATTTGTGCAAAAGGCTGTAAGTATGCATTGTTATAATATATTGGTATACCCTGTAGTCAAAGAGTCTGTCTTTCACAAATGTTGTCCTTTCCTTGTGAGTTTTGAGTGTTTTCTGGCCATCAATTCCTGATACTACAGCAAAAGTTCCAATGTACTGTCAAAACAATATAAACAGTCATTAAACTTACGTCATACCAAACAAATTCATGTCATTTTTACGCTTGATCGATCATTCTCGAACGTTCATTATGCATTATATCGAAATCAATTATTGATGAAAGCACGGATCAAACGCTCGATTTTGTGTCAAAATAGGTACAAAGGCGAGAAATATCACATTATTCTAATTGGAAAATCCACTTAACACTTGAAAGGACAATTTTTTATAGAAAACCTTAAAGATCTTAACATTTTGTTGGTGAACGGAATCGATTTAGTTCTACTTTTGACCTCAATCTTGTAAGCTACAGTCCTTATATTTGCACAATCAATAATTTCATCAATCAAATATTTCATCTCTCGATGTTAAAAATGGTTAAAAATGGTATTTACTAGTATTTTCAGTATTCAAGGATATAAGTTAAGTTTATGTAAAAAGTTCCCTCCATATGTTTACAAAAGTAAACTATAATTTTATGAAATCAAAATGTTACCAGTAAAGAGCATTCACCAGGATGCTTCGTCTAGCCACTTAAATTTTAAGTAAATTAATGCAAGACGAATGGAATTATTATAATTTGAAGAAGAAAGCTCAAAATACCGTGCATTTCTGTCTGGGACCAAGAACAGTTGCATCGCTCTCAATCGGTTGAAGATCAACGAAGCCATTTTTGTCRAAACCATCAACATCGTCATCTAGATCAAGCTGATTCGAACCAATTTTACCWMTKGCGCCATTTTTGTTCTTTTGATTTTTGTCTTCAAGAGTTTTTTGTTTGTCTTTCTTCTTCTTCTTGAACATGTTGCTCAACTTGGAGCTCACTTCATCGATGATGCAGAAACATTCACACGTTCACACTGTTGTCACTTTACTTCCTGTAGGTTTTATTTTCCCTAGAAAAGTCCTCTGTTACTTCCGGCCGCAAATTTAAGGAGACTGTGCCGACTTATGCAATATAAAAATTATTCAAGATGGCGGCTATAAGYGGAGCTCGAAGTTTGCGCTCGTTTCAAATTAGGCCAGCAATGGCTCTAATGAAGGTAATTYTTATACAATTTAGTTTTTGTAAGTAAGTTAAAATATTATTCTGAACTTATGAGGAATTTTATGCCAATCTGACTGATTTTGAATGGTGTTTTTTAAAAAACTTGATTATCAGTTGCATAACAAATTGGTTGTTGTTTGTGTCATTTTGTTTATATGATCATTACCGATACTTTTCTGTCGATGTATCTGAAAAAATATCCTCTTCTTCTAGGAAAACTTCCAYTTTTGTGTCAATTAAATCGATCTTTGCTAAAAATTATTATTTTTTGTTGTGCATACTTTGGACGACTAWAKCAGYACTTGTACATGCTTTCCTGCACGTCATTACGGTTTTKGCGTAATKTKTCTAATTTCTTTGATTATGGCAATGATATTATGTTATTTATTTTTATTTTAACATAATTTTGATTTCTCTAAAGTTTCAATCRAGAGATTCAACCTCTGCAGCTGTAGAAGAGCCTCGTTACAAGACCTTCTCTGTTTACCGCTGGGTAAGTCATCGGTAGGAACCTTACTCTTAGGTTGCACCTTTTCTACATATGGGTACATATAAGCAAGCATGTATACCATACAATTTTTACCTACGGCGACCATATCTGCCTAGAGAAATGCTGCAGTATCACCTCTACCTGTAGCTTAGTTGCTTCTCTCGTTAGAAAAGCAGTCCACCCATATTTATACCATAGTGTATCAATAGTTTATCCTTTTCTAATATACAAAGGTGTATCATATAAGATGGAAACTCTCATCTGTTTACAACATCGGTCTCGGGGGGGTGCAGACTTTAGTGGTATACATGTAGTACAGTCTTTAGTCTGCGTACATCCATTTTTTTACGGGTAAACGCTGGATGAACTCAGGCTATACTGTACAATCTTATGCAAAGTTACATTGGAACTGAGTCAAAGTTAACAATTTTAATTTTAATTTCTTATGCATATTGTGAAGTATCTTTACTTTTTTCACAAAAACGATATCAAAAATTTACCCACAATCCTTGGTGACTGAGCCAAATTGTTGTTTACTTTACTCAGAACCCAGATAAGCCTGGAGACAAGCCAAGAATGCAAGAATACAAAGTGGATCTGAACAGGTAAATGTCATTTGAACTAATKTGAAAGGTACTAAATAATTCATAAAACTATATAATTATGCATCAGTGTTCGCGGTCATAACCCCCCAAAAAACTGCAAAGAAACATAAAAAATCCTCAAGTTTGGCTCTTAATTTAATCCACGTCCATGAGCCAATTTGATTGTAATAGAACTGTTCTGTTTTCTTGTACAGTTGTGGACCTATGGTGCTAGATGCTCTGATCAAGATAAAGAATGAAATTGATCCAACATTGACCTTCCGAAGGTCTTGTCGAGAAGGTACATGTATTGCTGGTACCATATTGTAGATATTGACCAATCAAAACCCTGGATTTAGATGAATGGGATAAAACTAAATGGATGATAATCAAAGAAATGTGATTTAAAGGAATGGAATGTAGTAAAATGGGAATGAATGGGATTAGAATAAATGAGATTAATACAAAATTTGATATCAGCCAATTTGTAATATCTTTACAGGAATCTGTGGCTCATGTTCAATGAACATTGGTGGATCTAACACTCTGGCTTGTATCAGGTAAAATTTCATTTCAAAAATACTGCCAATTATATGCACTTTTATTGAACTTTCCACTTAGAACTGGACAGACAAGCAGGTCTACTCAGAAGTAAATTTAACACCTTTTGGCAAGATTTTTTAGCAATTTTCAAAGTTTCCGCTAAAACTAGATTTAATTGGATGAAATTTAGATATCAGTGGTTGGTAGTATTTTTTGGTCTTTGCATCAAGTTCTTTCAAATGAAAAGCACTTCAAGACCACATATTAATCATTGATCACATTTTGAGTGACAAACATCATTAATAGAACTGTTTATAATTTTAGTCGTATTGACCAGCGTACTGATAAGGCCACCAAGATTTACCCATTACCCCACATGTATGTAGTGAAAGACCTCGTACCAGTAAGTATTACACCAAGATTTACCCATTACCCCACATGTACGTAGTGAAAGACCTTGTACCAGTAAGTATTACACCAAGATTTACCCATTACCCCACATGTACGTAGTGAAAGACCTTGTACCAGTAAGTATTACACCAAGATTTACCCATTACCCCACATGTACGTAGTGAAAGACCT